TTATGATTTCTTGAGGAAATGAGTTGGTAATGGTGTGAGTATGTTTGTGTCAGCAAAGGTTCTCCAAGATTGAAAGAAATGGATGCATGCATGTGGATTAATCTTGGAATGCATGTTGATTTTGGAGCTAGCCAAGCTATGGGTAAGTATTTTAGTCTTGAAATTACAAGTAAACAAGGAAAATGATATGTATATTGATTGCTTATGTTTGTGGCAGCAATGGTGACTATGGATGTGAGGAAATTGAGAACTATATGTGTGGAACTCAAGCTATAACTGAAAGGTAAGCACGCAATGTGATTGCATGGTGTTGTGTTGGCATTAGTTAACTGATGGTATATGGATTGTATGATAAATGATTGTGAGTAAGGGTTAATGAAAACTATGACATTAGGTTACAGAATTATTGATTGATGTGCTGCCATGCATATGAATAAATTAAGTGTATTGAGTTTATATGGTTGATAGGAAGTGTATGAGTAAAGAAAGTATGCTATGGTAGCATGCCAGAGGAAGTAATAGGTAACTGGTGAGTGGAATTAGCTAGATACACGCCCGAATAAATAGCGATGTAGCCTTCCGCTATTGTAAGGTGAGTAGGAGGTGCCTATTTTAAAATCTCCACACTATATAAATTGATTGAATTACGTTAGTAAACGTTGATGGTTTTCTTAAGTACATTGTGGATAGCGTGAGCTGTTAACTTTGATAGGCAATTTTAAAATGGATTTACAATGATTTGTATATTGCTATCGTGGAAAGCATGAGCTGGTAGAAACCAGAGGAAGTTTGTTGATGCGAGTGTTTTTAAAGTGATTTGGATATAACTATAGATAAACTATAAATGTAAAGAGTTTTAGAAATAGGGAAACAAGCCTTTCATGATGTTTACATCAAAATCTGTGCCTTGTATTTTTATGTGATATGCATAGCTAAATGCATTTGTTAAATGATTTAAAATGCAAGTTTTGAGCTTCGGTTTTATTCTGATCTTTGTACAAGTGATACACCATGCCATTGAAAAGTAATTTCAAAAGGGTTATCAAACCTTGATTTCAATGATTAAAAAGAAATGCTTGAAAAGAAAACCCGATTTGGTTTTGAAAATGGTTTTGATAAACCGAGGGTTGAGAATAGCCCAGCTGTCACTTCGGTTAAGTGTGACCCTTGTGCACAAGTGAGCTATAGCTAGAAAACTTTTGGGTCACCGACGGGCTATTAGACGTGGCTGGGGCCATAGTCTCTGATTTACGGGGCAAGGCTATGGGTTGTTATATGTGGCTAGTCCACTAGTGATATTCGCAGTTACGACCGCTTAATTTCTCTGATGTCGTCCAACATCATCGAGATTTCCATGGCTATGGGGATCTGGTGGAGCAAAGCTCCCAAATGTTAGTACGTGGAAGTGGGTCCATGGGTGATTAAGATACTTACCTACTTGAGAGCTTTGTGAGTTTTCGACGCATACTCTTTTGCATGGTGCAGAGTTAAGATTTCTTTGCAGCTCCCTTTGTTTGAATAAAAGCTTTCAGTA